CCTAGTATCAAATATGTCTGCAAAGTGCATGGATTGTAGAAATTCAGGGATGATATTTGAGTGATGCATTGTTTGACCATCAGTACTTACAAAGGTAGTTGGATTTAGTCACTGAGAATCTTTGTGTGTGTTAAAAAAAAAACTAAACACACAGCAGGACTAGAATCGTATGGAAACTCCAGCTTAATCCATGAGTGTATTAATTTCCAGTGGAAAATCTCAGATAGAAGGCTGCTCGTATGGATAAGGCACTGCCTGAGATCTAGGTTCAGCTGCCGGATCTCTTACAGATTCATTATGTGATCTTGGGCAAGTCATTTAATCTCTCCATTCCTTAGTCCCCCATCTGTAAAATGGGGATAGTAGTGCTTCCTTTGTCTATTTATATTGCAAACTCTGCGGGGCAGGAATTTTCTCTCGCTATGTGTATTCACAGAGTGTAGCGCAATGGGATGTCCATCTTGGTTGGAGCCTGTGCTACTGGAATGCAAAGAAATAATAATAACCTTGCAGTTGTTTTCCCAGAAAGAGTCAGGAAGGAGTTGAACAGGAAGATGGGTCTTTACTAACCGGGGAGAGGGCATTTTAGCCAGCTGTGCAACACCTACAAAATATAAAAGGGATTAAAGGAAAAAACAGGATTATTACAGCTTTGATCGTAAACTATTTATACTCAGAGGGCCACTGTTATGAAGAGAGGAATTGGGCCCACAGCTTTTAATAATCCTGAGCTGCCATTCTGTCTCTCTCTACTGGATGAAGTCCAGATAGATGTGGATAAGGGTAGAAGTAGATTTAAGCAACTAAAGAACCATACGTTGGTTCTGAAAGCGGAGCTGGTGAAATCTCCCTCACTGCTGGGTAGGCATGTTGTGTGCACATCTGGCAGAGTTTCCACAGGGGGTAGTTTTCAGGAAGTCAGACTAGATCATCTAATCAGCCTTGTCCACCTCTAACTTTTCTGATTCTAGTGAAATGTACATATGTAAAGCTGTATGAGAAATCTTCTCTCTCCCACCCCCGTCTTTTAATGAGGTGTGAATATAGCTCTGTAAAAACATAGTAGCACATCTTAAAAATGTCAGGATGTGAACATATAATATTCTATACCCCTTTTAGGGCCAGATTTTCAAAAGAGCTCAGCACCTAACAACTCCCCTTGCGAACAGTGGAAATCTCACCTTTAGGGTGGGATTTTCAAAAGAAAATATGAGAGTTAGGTGCTCAACCTCTGTTGACCATTACTGGGAATTCAGCACCTAATTCCTATAAACTCTTTTGAAAATCCCACCTTAATCCATTTTTGTATTGTTATTTTTAAAACATTTCAGTTCATATTTAAGTTCCTTGTGCACAAGATCCTAATACCATTGACATTTTGCACTTATATATGGCCAGATCCAGTGGGAATCTTTCCATTGACTTCAGAGCACTACAGATCAGACTCAGGGCAGGTCTTCACTACAGGGGGGGGTCAATTTAAGATACGCAAATTCAGCTACGCGAATAGCGTAGCTGAATTCGACGTATCGGAGCCGACTTACCCCACTGTGAGGATGGCGGCAAAATCGACCTCCGCGGCTCCCCGTCGACGGCGCTTACTCCCACCTCCGCTGGTGGAGTAAGCGCGTTGATTCGGGGATCGATTGTCACGTCCCAACGAGACGCGATAATTCGATCCCCGAGAGATCGATTTCTACCCGCCGATTCAGGCGGGTAGTGTAGACCTAGCCTCAAAGTGCCTTTTATTCCAAAGAACTCAGAGTGCTTTAGAAACAGTAGAGGCTAAATTCTATTCTCAGATCTATACATGCATCTCCCAACACAATCAGGGAGATTTGCTTGTATATATCTGAGGACAGAATTTGGCGCCAGTTAACCAACCCTCCCAAAAGCCCAGGGAGGTAAGTATATATCCTCATATTCAGTTTTGGGCAACACAATTCCTAAAGGGAGGGTTGTCAAAGCCGCAGCTCCAATCTCTCCGGGAGCCTGCCTGGAGTGTGTGAAGCTTTACCATTTGAAATTCCAGGGATGATCAGCTCCATGAAAGGGACCCGAACGTAAATCGCATCCCGTTTACACTTCTCTGTATCACCGTTGTTATAGATCATGTCCACAATTTCACTGATCCAGGTTGTGCCTGGAAATATAAAGCAAACTCGCTAAATACTCTTCTAGCATGCAGTAGGCAGGTCATAAGCATGGAGTCAGATCCTCACTTGGTGTAAATTGAAGACAATGGACTTATGCCAATTTACACCAGATGACGATCCCTTCTAGCCTATGGCCTTTAGCAATAGACTTTGAGGGTGGTGAAATCAGTGCTCCTGGGCTTTCTTGGCCTGTGCTTGAATATGTGATGTCAGTAACAAAGTGACTATCATCATGGAAGTCCAATATCACCAAACTTGATATAACATCACAATGTTTCTGCTACTGCCTGAAGACCCAATGCAAATTTCCCACTAGGCTTGTGGGAAATAAACTACTCACAAATGGAGGTGTGAATTGATAGAATCCTGCCACCCTTCAGCGCTGAGCCTGTGTTGAGGGCAAAAAGCCGCTTCATCCATCCTGGGAAAGAAGAACTCACCTCCGGCTCATGTTGGTCAGTATCAAGTTGACAATTTCCATTCCCGAACACTGAGTGAGGGCACTCCAGTGTCAGACCACAAAGTCTATAGCATTCAGCAACAGGACAGTCTATGGCTAAATGATGGTACGAGAGCAACACGGAAGGAATATTTTGCCACTTTTTGAACACATCCCTGTTAGGACAAAGGAGTTCGTGGTCTTATTCTCTTTCTATGCACAGCATTGTCACAGGGCATGGCTTCTCCCCAGCTTCCAAACACTCCCGGCCCAGTCACCTTTGAGAAGGTTTATTTGCATAACACAGGCAAGAAGAGCAACAGAAAACAGTCTGGCACTCCTCCTTCTGGTAGTTCCCCACTGAGGTCTAATCAGCTCTGTTCCCTTCCTGGAGCAGTAGGCTCAGTGCTGCTTTCCTCAGCGCCTTGCTCCAGAGACCCACTGCAGGAGTTAGCTCTACTCCACCATGGCTTCCCTTCCCCAGGCACAACCTATCCCATCCACTTCTTTCACCTCTTATTTACTGCTCTCTGGCAGCCCTTTATAGGCCCAGGTGTAGCCCAGCCCCCTTTAATTGGCTGGATTGAGTTCACGTGCTCTGATGCAGGAGAGCTAGGCCCAGTTCTGCTCACAGGGACCCAGAGCATGGGGTTGCATCCCTGACCATCTTGGCTAATAACCATTGATGGACCCATCCTCCATGAACTTATCTCGTTCTTTTTTGAATCTCATTATAGTTTTGGCCTGGAAGGCTTCTTAGCTTCTTCCCTATATGACAAGGTCAAGTAAAACCCATGTAGACTGCAGTGTTTTGAATAGGGTTCTTCAATAAAAAGGGATCACGAAGGTACAGATGGAGGAGGCTTTGAGTAAGAGATTTCTATACCTAATGGAGGAATTGATAAAGGGGTTATGGTCTGAATGTGGCATACATGTGGCATAAGAGTTGGGCAATAGCCTCCATTTCTGCCCTGGGTTTGTGCCTTTTAGCTGCATAAGATGAATCTTCTAATAGATCAGTGGCACTCACCTGACTTCGGGTAGGTGGAAATGAGAAGGTCATCTGGCCTCGCCTGGAATGATTCCACCTGGGCCCATTCTTCAACAATACTCCAGAATAGGGGAACACCACAGACCATTTCTAATTTCCTCCTTAAGACATTTTCATTATTTTCCATTCTGGAAACGCTGGGCTAAAGGAAGAGAAAAGCATGTAAATGGAAGTGATTTGCTTCCATTAAAAAGTGCTGGGAGACCCTCTCTTCCACTTAGCATTTATTTTGCACAGTGGAGTTTGGGAAACTTGTCAATATTAAATTGCTAGTGATAACCAGAGCAACATTCATGCTTGGGTAATAGTTTTAGGGCTTGTGTGCAATGTTGAATGTAGCCACTAGAGGGTGACATGGCAAAATAGACTTGAGCCTATCCGCTGGAAGAGGGCAGCACTATTTACATATTCATTGGGCCAGATCCCCAGCTGGTTTAATTTGGCATAAAGTCAATGGGGCTCTACTGTACGCTACTGAAGAGCTGGTCCATAAAGTCCTGAATGTTAAAAGAGTTCTATCCTAATTCTCAGCAGCAGAAATAGCCATGCTCTCAGTTGAAGGAAGAAACAAGATGAGAGTAGTGGGGACAGGAGGAAAAAATGAAGCAAGGCGTAGAATTTTGAACCGATGGCAAACATTATTGAGAAGGCAGGAAGGACAGCATTCAGAGCACTACAGCAAATGACTATAATGGGAACCAACATTTTGATTCTAGCCAGAACATTAATGGGAATTTCTGCATGCTCCAAGAAGAAAAACAACAATAACAATACCTAACATTTTCATTTATAAAAGGCCAGATTCTGCCACCTACTCAACATGAGTTAGAGGGTCAGATGGTGATCCCTTATCCTTAGCAATATATACCTAAATCTTTATTTGAATGAATTGTCTCTGTTTAGATCCTATAAAATAGCCTAAGTTACTACATATAGCCCAGACTTGTACATTTGCACTTTTTTAAAAACACAGCTTGATTGTATCTAATTTTCAGAACAAATTTTGTATTATGAGAGCTATGATACTGGCCAATTATTCCCACATACAATACAAATACATTAAAGACTTTCAGGCACTCAGATCCTATGGAAATGTTGTGGGGCATATAAGTCTGATTGACAGATAAATAGACAGGTAGATTGGATATTTGAAATCTTCACAAAACTTCATGAACCGTGATAGAAATGCTTATTTTTAAGATTAGATCTTCAGCTGGTGTTAGTTAGTGTAAGTGCTGATTTAAACCAGCTGAGGATGTGGGCCTTGTACTCTTTTTCCTAGATAAAAAATAATGCAAAAATCAACCCCCTGCCTCAGAGATGAACAGCTGGGTGTGTGCCATTAAGCTAGCTGCAGGTCATGCTGCACTATATGACAATGGTTTTACTTAAGGTGTATTGGAAGAGGCATCCATTACGTAAATAGAAAGATTATCACCGCAGAAATATATAGTAAAGAACAAAATTGTCAGACACATAGATGAACATAACTTGTTGGGGGAAGAGTCAACATGGTTTTTGTAAAGGGAAATCATGCCTCACCAATCTACTAGAATTCTTTGAGGGGGTCAACAAGCATGTGGACAAGGGGGATCCAGTGGATATAGTGTACTTAGATTTTCAGAAAGCCTTTGACAAGGTCCCTCACCAAAGGCTCTTAAGCAAAGTAAGCTGTCATGGGATAAAAGGGAAGGTCCTTTCCTAAGTTCTCTCTAAGCTGCGTGGCCACGCAGCAGGCTACCAAGAGCCGCACAGGTGGGGAGAGGTGCCCCTCCCCTGGCCCAGCCAAGCCTTGCCCTGCCCAGCCTCGCCCTGCCCAGCCTCGCTCAGCCAGAGCTGCTGCAGCCGGGGAGAAGCGTCCCTCCCCTGGCCCAGCCTAGCTGAAGCTGCCATGGCCGGGTCCGGGTCACATGGAGTGGAGAGGAATTAAAACCCCAAGACAAGCAGCGGCGACCCCTGCCCATTGTGCTTCAGCCAACTCATCTGGTGGGTTTAATGAGCAGCTGTGAGTTAGCGGGAGGTGCCCGAGCTGCCGCCCCGAAACCCAGCTGCACATCTTGGGATGGAGTGCCACGCTGCCCTGGGCCCCCCCGTGGCCTCTGCCCCCCAGCCTGTTGGGCCTGCTCCCCAGCCTTGCGAGCTAGCCAGTGGGATCAGGGAGGCAAAGGCTGATCCCGTGTGTGGCCCATAGGGCGCA